CACCGTGTCGATTGCTTTCCCGGAGAGAGGGGCCGGGCGCGGTAATCTAGACGGCTTACGCGTCGGCCGCGCCCTGCACGCGCACGAGCAGGCGACTCTCTCTCTCTCTCTCTCTCTCTCTCTCTCTCTCTCTCTCTCTCTCTCTCTCTGTCCAGTCCAGTCAGCCGAGCCGTGCGGACGCGCTGCTCCGCTCCGCTCGCTCGCCGCCGCCCGCCTACCCAGCAGACGATGCGCGCCGGTGCCATGTGTTTTGTTAATCGACGTGATGTGATTTAACGATGGACTAACTACTACTTTTCGAGTGCTGTGTTGTTCCTCTGACCGAAGCCCTACCGCGACTCTGTTTTCGGGCTCCCTCCGTGCTGTGACTGTGCCTGTTTGGATTGTGTGTTGTTGTGGTGCCCCGTGCCGGACCATGTCGTCGTCCTGTTACAAGTGCCAGCGTGCCGCGAAAGAGGCACAGGCCGTCGCGTGCGTGTGTGGTGCTGCCAAAGCACACAAATCGTGCGTGAACTTAGCCAATGGTGCAACTTGGTCCTGCAACGAAGTTTGGTGCGGCAAGGCCGCCGCCGCCCCCCCTGGCCCGAGCGGGCCGGCCGGCCCGGCCGGCCCGGCCCCGCCAAGCAGCGCCGAGCCTACGCTCGCGGACATCATGCGGCTCATCGAGAAGAGCAGCAGCGAGCAGACCAAGCTCCTGCGCTCCGTGGAGACCAAGCTCAACGAGTCGCTGGAGGCTTGCCACCGCAAAGCCGACGAGGCGGTCGCCAAAGCCGAGAGTCTGGAAAGGGAGATGGGTGAGCTTCGTCGCGAGAACACGGATCTTAAAGAACAAATCAACTTGATAGAGGAGCGCCTCACCGCGGCGGAGCAATACTCCCGCGTCAATGACGTGGACGTGCACGGCGTCCCCTTCGTCAAGGGGGAGAACTTGGCTGCTGTCTTAGTGAGTCTCGGTAACGCCCTCGCGTTTCCGCTATCCGACGACAACGTCGAAGTGGCCCACCGTACCGGCCCTCCCAATGCCTCGCGGAGGGGTATTATTGTCCGGTTCTACAGTAAAGACACTAAAGTTCGCTTCCTGCAGGCG